AGCAGGCTGTGCGAGACCAGCGACGAGGAGGAGGAGGAGGCCGCCCCACCGGCGCCGCGGGAGGAGGACGAGGAGGAGCCGGCGGACGCCTCAGACTCCTCGGAGGGGGATGATGTGGAAGGACAGTGGGAGAGCGAGAGCTCGTCCTCGACCCCCGAGGACGGCGGGGTGCCCGAGGCCAGCGAGCCCCCGGGCGAGGAGGAGGAGGTAGGGTGTTCGCCTCTTCTCTAAGTACGTGCCACAGCCTGAAGCTGAAGCGGAGCTGGCATCACCTGTGTAAAGCACAAGGTGTTTGCTGCTTGGTCAGGCCATGCAGAGTGTTGTCATGGGTCAAAACAGCACCAGCAACAGGCTCAGCAACAGTGTTGGCTGCAGAGGCCTGACAAGACATAGGGACCCCTGTTCGGGGTGGAGGGTTGGGTTCCCCCAAATCTGGGTGCTGGCAGGTAACACCTTAAAGCACAAGGCATGTGGTCTTGTCTCTGTAGACGAGATCATCAAATAAAAGGAACTACCTCAGCTTTAGAGTTTAAGAACATGATTAAGCCCTTCCATGAAAAGCAAAGAGAGGATACAGGATACATTAGTATCTGTTGGAAACTGAAGAGCTACAAAGAAAGGTTGAGGGAGCTGGGCTTGTTTAGCTTGTAGAAGAGAAGGCTCCAGGGAGAATTCATTGCAGCCTTCCAGTACTTGAAGGGAGCTTATAAACAAGAGGGAGAGCAACTTTCTACATGGGCAGATAGTGACAGGACAAGGGGAAATGGTTCAAAACTAAGAGAGGGGAGATTTAGGTTAGATATTAGGAGGAATTTTTTCAGCCAGAGGGTGGTGAGACACTGGAGCAGGTTGCCCAGAGAAGTTGTGGATGCCCCATCCCTGGAACATTCAAGGCCAGGTTGGATGGGGCCCTGAGCAGCCTGATCTAGTGACTGGCAACCCTGTCCACAGCAGTGGGGTGAAACTAGATGATCTTTGGGGTCCTTTCCAACCCAAATCATTCTATGATTCTGGATGACCCCAGAGGTTCTGCCTGTGTTATGCCTTGTAGCATGGGCAGAGGAGAGGTGGCCAAATGGATCATTTAGCCTGCATGGCACTAACTTATAGCAATAGTACATTTGCAGCTGATAAAACCAAGACCTAAGATGTCAGGTTTTAATAACAATAACTTAAAGAAAAATTAATCTTAAGAGGGGTTTTGCTGCCGTCAAGTTGGTCATACGTGGTAACTTGTTGCATGTGTCTTTTCTGTATGAAGTTGTTCCTTTGGCATTAGTTATTAGATTATAAAATACATACTTAACTAAAAGTTTGGTGTATTTATCTTAACTAGGAATATATATTTGTGATCAAATATTTAAGATACTAGTCTCATCTGGTATCTTGCTTTATTCTTTTCCTGGTAAGAGTCATAATCGCAGTGCTACGAAGTATGTTCCCCCTCAAGTAAGGAAAGCTCAGGACACACTAGATGACAAGAAAAGAGAAGAACTGAGAAGACTGAAGAAAATGGTGAATGGTCTCATTAATAGGTAATGTGATAAGGAAAATCATTAATCTTTCTGAGTCAATGTGACAGTGCTCATCATTCAAAGAAAGTGGCAAGGATGTGACTTTTCTCTTCACAAACTGCTTTTAAGTTGGCAATCATGTCCGCTATTCTTAATAATAATTGTCTTTGTTGATATAAATTCTTCAAAGTTGGTCATTATAGAAGTTGAAAAATCTAGAAAATAAATTTAAGATTGGGCTGAGTTCCACACAGCACTTGCCTGCAAGTGCTTAGCATAATTCACTAAGTATCAGCTGGGATTATGCCTATTAAAAAAAAAGTTATAGTGGGAGTTATAACTCCCCCCCAGAAAGCATGTTTTCCTTTTTTTAATTAAATAAAGTTAAATGTCTCTAAGACTACAACTGAGGAGGAGCAACACTTCATAGCTTAAAGTACTAAAGAAGATAAAAAGTAATTAACACTCATCAATTTTAATTTTAGAATATTTTTAAAATAAGAAATTTATTGGCATTTTATTTTATCGATGTTATCTGTAAAATGAAAAGTACAGTATGCAGTTTGCTCAGTCATTTAGAATTTGATATCCCTTATACGTTAGAAAAAAGTAAGTGGTATTCTCATAATTAATTTCTCCAAAGACGGTGATATGCCATAGTTTCAACTGCTAAGAACAAAGTCTCTTTCCTTAGTAAGTCTGTTCAGTGTGATGGTAGGCGCATTGACAGTGCTTTGTAAATACTGCTGCTAGTCTGTTTTGCAAGAAAACCGCAGAATTAAACATATGTTGTTGGTTTTTTCTGGGTTTTTTTAGTGAACACAGCAAAATACAAAAGGTCCCTTCCAGTCATCTTTTAAATCTTTATTCTTAAGCCAGGCTAGTTTCTCTAAAAATAATAGGTTATTGAGTAAACTGAAAATTGTGGAACTGTGTAAAGAGAAGAGAAAGTGAACACTGGATTTTGTTTCTCAATAGGTTGAGTGAACCGAATTTGTCCTCCATTAGTGGACAGATGGAGGAGCTCTACATGGCCAACAGCAGGAAGGACATGAATGAAACTCTGACAGATATTCTCATGAATGCTTGTGTTACTGCAGTTGCCATGCCTGCAAGATTGCTGATGGAGCATGTTCTTTTGGTCAGCATTCTTCATCATAATGTCGGAATTGAGGTAATTCTTGTGGTTGGGACTAATTTTGTTTAATAATGCCTATAATAGAGTTTCTTCGTTTATATTTTGTTTTAATTACCTTTTAATTTTTGATTGTGTATCACTAAAAAGCATCTGGACAAGACAAGGGGAAATTCGTTTAAGGGTTTAAAGACAAGGGGAACAAGACAAGGGGAAATGGGTTTAAGCTGAAAGAGGGGAGGTTTAGATTAGATATTAGGAAGAAGTTTTTCACTGTGAGGGTGGTCAGACACTGGAACAGGTTGCCCAAGGAAGTTGTGGATGCCCCCTCCCTGGAAGTGTTGAAGGCCAGGCTGGATGAGGCTTTGAGCAACCTGATCTAGTGGAAGGTGTCCCTGCTGATGGCAGGGGGATTGGAACTAGATGATCTTTAAGGTCCCTTCCAACCCAAACCATTCTATGATTCTATGATTCTCTGATCTGTAGTTGGATTTCAGCAGTATTTGTAGCTTATTAGCTAGGTGTTCTCTAGGGAAAAGGACCAAGTCTGTTGCTTTATCTGATTATTTCCTCCAGGAAATAATGACCTCCATGGAAATTAGTGACCATGACTACTGGTCATTAATAAAGCATGAGGTTTTATCCTCAAAATCTTTCTGCATCAATAAAACTGATTTTTTTTCTTAAGAGAGTTTTCTCCTCTTTAATTACACTAATCCATTTCTGTTCTCTTGGGTATATGAGGGTATTGGTGAACGATGTGTATCCAGATAAGGAAAGCACTGCAGTTACAAAAATCCTTTTATATCAGTGTAAAAAGTCCTTTTTTTATGTCCAAATCATGCACATCATCAGTGGAATTAACCAGGTATATAAATTACTCCAGAATATTAAAAAAACTTCAAAAAGTATGGCAAATATTCTGGAGGGTTTTTTGTGTTTTTAAACCTGATGAATGATTGAGATAAATATATCTTGCTTACTGTTAAGAACAAACTGAAACTACTGATGTGAAAGAGAAGATTTTAGATAATTTCAGTGAAATGTCTTTTAGGAAACTGAGATGTTCCAGGACCATGTTCCCATCAAGTTACATTTTCTTTCTGCATCTCAGTGCAAAAGATGTATTGATGCAGGTTCTTCAGTTTGTCATATAGTGACCTGAATGCTTTCTCTAAAACCATATTAAATATCAGATGAATGCAATTCTAGCAGCTTTCTCCATGCAGCCTTGCCATTAAACTATTTTTTTTGTTCCTCTTTGCTGCTTGAAAGGCAGTTCTGACTGCAAATAAAATGTAATTTACCATGGTGTTTGAAGAAGAGAAACACAATCTTTTTAGAAGTTGATTTTCCAAATACTAGGTATTTGCAAAATACATAGTATATAATATATAGTACATATATTTGCAAAATACCTAGTAATAGGTTTTAGATATAATAATAGGTATTAGCAATAGATGATACCCAGACTGTCTTCTGTACTACTGTCATGCACCATCTTTGAATCTAAGACTGTAATATTTAAATATAAGCCCCATTATTTTTTCTGTAAAATACACGTAGAATAAGCTTTACACGGAAGTGTGATAGCACAGCTGCATTTAAGATTAGCATGAGCAATGCAGAAGTTGGGATTCCAGAAACTGTGTTTATACATTTGTGCAATATGATCATTGCATAGTTAGAACTTAAGCTAGCCAAGGCTTGGAGTGCAAGTCAGTACTGCTGCTGGGACTTCTGGTTTTTGTAAGAACGATCATCAAATATTAGCACCATAAGAACAGAGGTATCTTGTTTAGTAGTAATGTGTTCATTACGTACCTGTAATTTCTAATTCCAGGCTTTAGCATCACTTCTCTCTTCAGAAATATAGAGATTCCAAAATTTCTTTTCCCAGCTGTACCACTGACAAATGGCTAAGGCTTATCCCCACTTCAAAATCAGCCTGAGCTCATGCTTAGCAACTGTGAAAACTTAGTAGGTTGGGAGTTATTTTACAACATTATTTTTTACCCTCTTGCTAAGGATTTTATTCTGAAATGCTGAACTCTGTGATGCATTTGGTTTTTGACATGCAGCTTTTACTGGATGAATGACTATCAGTAACAGCATGCTAGCCTGACAGCTGGGAAGGGGCTACTATGTGTCCATTAAAATTATGTAAACAAATTCTGATGTATGTGTACTGTAAGTTCATAACATTTGCTTTTCTTGCACACACTTTAAAAGGCAACCGGGTGGCATATATGAAGTGTAAATAACATAGACTTTAAGAAAATGTCACACCACTCAGATATTTGTATATGTAAATGTAGAACATCCATATTGGTTGAGAAGAGCAAAAATACTTCTTTAAAATTAGTAGTGGCAGTGCCCCAAAAATGAATGTTTTACAGATGTCTGTAAAATCTACTTAGAGCTAACTGCTAGATTGTTTTTTGTTTGGTTTTCTTTTTCCCCCCCGTTAATGTAACTATTGCCAGGTCGGTGCTCACTTTTTGGAAGCTGTGGTGAAGAAATTTGATGAACTCTGTAAAAGTGATGCTGAAGGGAAAGAATGTGAAAATCTGCTTGCCTTGATTGCTCATCTGTATAACTTCCATGTGGTTCACTCCCTGCTGATCTTTGACATTCTGAAAAAGCTCGTTAGCGCTTTCACTGAAAAAGAGATTGAGTTGATTTTGTTTCTACTGAAAAACGTGGGCTTTTCCTTAAGAAAAGATGATGCATTGGCTTTGAAGGAACTGATCACTGAAGCCCAGAGGAAAGCAAACACAGCAGAGAAGAAACTCCAGGATCAGACTAGGGTATGTGTGTGTGTGTTGTGAAGATTTTCCATTCTGAATAGACTTTGATAAGCACTTGGATACATGTGTTAATTTACCATCATGTTTTCTGCTACACTCTATTTAGATTCTAACTTAACATTAGCATTCACTTCTTGCATTCAGTTATTTGCATTCTTCTTGTCTGTCTTCCTCTATTCGTTCTTAGGACACAGGCACCAAAATGCTTGTAATGGGTGAGACTTGGCCTGTTTTGTGTCTCATACAATGGACAGTGCTTCTGTTTCGTGATACTTTGCACGCTTCAAAATATGGTCACTGAGTCATGGTGTTTAGCAGATTAAGCTTTGAATTGAAGCTTAAGCACAAATTAATATAATAGGAGTTAAAGTGAACATCTTTCTCTGTGTCTGCATTCATGTAATCTAAATTTTGATGTATATTGACAGCTGAATTGCTTATTCTCATGGAATAGTAATTTCAAAGTACACTCTCTACTTTATTCAATAAACTTACATCAAATAATCCACAGAAATATTTCTTTTCTCAATAGATTCGTTTTATGCTCGAGACTATGTTGGCACTAAGGAACAATGACATGCGTAAGATTCCTGGTTACGATCCTGAACCAGTTGAAAAACTCCGTAAATTGCAAAGAACACTGGTGAGAACTTTCTTGACATATGTAGCGTAGCTATTCTGAAACCATAAGTACTTATTTGTATTTTATGTCAGCTTGGTGGGCTATGTTAATTCATTTAACAGTCTGAAACTCTTGTGGACAAAAATCACTTCTTAGATCATAAAGTATTATATCCTGTGTCCAAGTTAAGTCAGCAGTCAAACAGCCTTCTGCAGAACAGTTTGGGAAAGGACATAGTACTTAGCCAAAGACTTTGCCTCAAAGTCTTACACTTGAAAAAGAGATTGTGGGATGTTTAACGATTGTGCAGAAGAAATGAGTCATTATGACAAGTTCTTTTTTCCGTAGATTTTTGGATGCAGGCACCCTCTCCTAACTTCATCAGAATTATTTGGGAAGTTTAACACTTCTGCAAACCTGGATATTTTTTCTTTCTTGAGTTTTTTTGGGGGTTTTTTTGACAGAGAAAGGGCAGTTTCTCTAGAACAACCCAGTGTAAAATGCATGAAAGTAATAGTCTCTTTGGATTGAGAACTAATGCGTTTTCACAAGACTTGAATCTGATTTTAGAGTCCATGTGTCTCCAACCTGAAAATGATACCACTTGTCTACCACACCTAGAGCATCTTATTCGTCAGAAGTTTGTAAGTGCAGGATGTGCACGTCGGTGATAATAGGCCAGGCAAAAATAAGCTAGGTAACCTAGTTCTGTGGAATTTCCTGTCTTAAATTTTCACAGTCCTCTTAGTATAATTCTAGACTCTTTTGTTGAAAATTCTTATGTTGCTCAAATAATTTAAACTTTTAGTTGTTTGAATTGTGCAAAAGCCAGTTTGTCATGTCATTTTATTTGATTGCAAGTGTTCAAAAAGAAAATCATGACCGGAGTGTAAGATGCTGCAACTGATTTTCAATGTTAGCATCAAATCTGAATTCTAATCAAGTTTTATGATTGGAAGATGGCTACTTCTTAACTTATTATCTCCTTTTTTTAAATTTAAAAAAAAAAATCAAACAAACAAACAAGACCTTCTAAATATATATAGGTTTAAGCAACTTCTTCTATTTGAGAAACTAGAGCATATGGGAAACTTGTAAATTCTTTTCAGGTTGCTGTCTGAAATTAAAGGTTGGGGAGGAACACATGAAGACCTTTCTGGAGTAATTAAAGTATTTGTTGTTTTCTTTTTTTAGAAAAAAGGAAGCTTCAACTAAAAAAAGGTTTGGGGTTTTTTGTATTTTTTTATTCAAGGTTCACAACAGTGGTTCTGGAAAAGAAACTCAGCTCCGTGTCTCTCTGGAATCTCTCCTCAGTGCTGATCAGATTGGTCGCTGGTGGATTGTAGGGTCATCCTGGAGTGGAGCACCAATGATTGATGATACGAAGAGCAAGACTGAGCAAAAACTGCATATAGGAAAGGTAAATCCAATCTCAAGCAGTGCTATTTGTAAGTCCAAGTGTTTGTGATCTTTTGACTATTCTTTATACAGGTAAGTAAGTCAATTTTAGAGTCCATCAAAAAACCTTCACCAACCCTTGTAAGGCTAAGCTTTTGGACTAAATTCTGCCCTTAAATTTTTCAAAATGTTGCACTTTGCACTTAGTAAGAGCTGTTACTACAAGTCACAGAATCACAGAATATTATGGTATAGCTTGTTTTTTCTTATCCTGTGTAACTGCAAAAGTAACTTATGTAAGTGAAAGAAGAGACTTGATTTACAAGTGGATTTGCTAATATGAATTCTGACAGGTAGTGGTGTCTGTCTGTGGGTGGCATATATCTAAGCTGATTCTAAAAGTAGTGTGATGAGGTGGTCGTGGTGACTTAGAGAAACACATCTTAAAAATAATTGGCACAACTAAAATACATTAAAATATATTTCCCTGGTTGAAAAAGCTCCTGATGACACCTGTGTCTCTGGACAAAAGCTCAGGACCTTTGGATGGGTGCTTCATAGTTTACTGGAGATCTTCATTAATTATGTTATTCAAGGCTGCACAGAAATAGCTTTCTTAAAGCAAGCCTAAGTAAAATAGCATTTGTTTGGTTTTTTTTTTCAGGTGAGTTCAAAAATAATGGAGCTTGCTCGTAAGCAAAGGATGAACACTGATATCAGAAGAAGTATTTTTTGTGTCTTGATGACAAGTGAAGACTTCCTGGATGCCTTTGAAAAGCTTCTCGGGTAAGTACAGACTAGCACAGAAGACAGCCTAGAACTAAGAGCAGCTGGGTTCGAAAAATAACATTGCTGGTCTTGACTTAAGAGCATTTAGTTTGATAACACAATAAAAGAAGTGCATAGCTAGGGATTCATGTAGAGTAAAAGGGTAAGAGGGGGACCAAACCCTGATGTAAGGACTGGTAGGGGGCAGGTAGAACTGACTGGCAGTCAGAGTAAAGAAAGGAGTAGCCCCTGTTATTGTCACTCATGTCTGTAACTGTGTTTTACAGCATCTTGTGACTTAAGGAGCCTGTATCTTTTTGTGTTGAAGGTGTCTATGCTGGTCTAGTGGCTGGAAGTCTGTTGCAGGCTTGCTTCCTTACCAGAACCCCCTTCCAAACATCTCTTGGTTTTGTTGCTGGATTTTTGTACTACTGCCACTTCCTGTACTTCTTGCCACCTAGTTAGGCCATCTTGTAGGTCTCTGTCCATACTTGCATGACCTGGTGACATTGTAGCACCTCTTCTTCCCTCTTGCAGAATTTATTAGCTTTGGATTTGCTCCAGGATCACATTTCATGTTAAGACCAGTTTCCTTACCACTTGGCAAACAACTCTTTAGAAGATGATGTGATCAGGGGAAGGCTCAAACTAAGCTATTCTTTGTGTTTGTCAGAATATTAATTATAACTCTATGTTAAGTGGGAGGGGAGAGATCAGGTCTGAACTTTTCTACTACAGCCTTGTAATTCAAGGGAATTGTTTTACCAAGATGGCATGCAATTATTTAATTTGCTAACCAAACCAAAACAGACTTTGTAATCAAGTCAAATAATATTTGATTAAATGCCACTTCTGCAAAACACAGCTTGGATTTAAGACTGTAATGGAGTCATTCCAATATCTTAATATGGCTTGTTCAATTAAAAGAAATTAGCTGCTGCTGCTGCAGTTCTTGTCAAGACGTGGTAGCTCAATTTGCAAATTGATCCTTGACTCTCATCCATGGTATTTAAACTAGTATACAAATCTGTATACAAACAGGCTTGGCAGAAAAACTGTCTGCAGGTTGCCTGGTGTGTGTTGATACTGATTTTTATCAGGCAAACTCAGAGAGAGGAATTCTCAAATCTGCCCACATCTGGCAGAGTATGATGGGAAGTACACAGAATTGTCAGTGAAGGAACTAACTTCACTGTGAACGTGTGTTCCAGAGCGTATGGGAATTTATATTGATATGTTTGATGTCAGTCTCCTGAGAAATATATAAAGAAATACTTTAACTGTGCTTGTTGATTCATCTACTGCTAGGTTTCTGGCAGAGTTGAGGTGTGGTCAAATGGTAATTTAAACCATTTTAAATCCAGGCTGCTGTAGTTTTGCTTGTCTTGCTCCTCCTTAGAGCAAAAGAAAGTAATTAGTTTGAAGCCAGAACGCTCCTTGAAGCGGCTCAGCTTGTGATTGCAGAAGTGTCAATATAAATGGAGGGTTGGGAACATCACTGGAGACGAAGAGGAGAGAGTGAGACTTGATCCATTTCATCAGCTGGTGATAACTAACCTATTTAGAGGCAGGCTTCTGCTGGTGATAAGCAACCTCCTTCAGAGGCAGTTATCCCATATACAGCAGGAGATTCTTAAAAGCTATCAAGACATACAAGTCCATGGGAATACTGTAACTCATGAATGATTTAGTAGGTGAAGTGGTTTCATAGTCTTTATCGAAGATTATCAGGCTTATGAAATCTGTAGAGGTTTATGGTGAAGCTCAGCAGTGAAAGACTCTTAAATTCTAGATGTTTAGTAATGCTGGGTCTGAAAAGATAAAATTGAACATCAAAGTACTGATTTACTTGGTCACAACTCTCTGTCAACATGAATATTTCCTAAATAAGCAAGTTGTGATAGAAGTGCTGATGAACAAGGAAAAGGAGAGTGTGCCAAATTAGTGATTGCAGTGTAACTTCACAAGTCATCTATTAAATGCATGTCCAGTGGCTAAAAACCTGTGTATTTAAAAAAAAAAAAAAGAACCCAACCTTTCATTGCTCTGCAATAAAATCAGATAGAACTTGGCTGATGGGAGAGCAAGCAAATTATATCACAGACACAGCACTTAGAGTGCTGGTCTCTTTTGGAGAAGCAGATTTCTAAGTTTTCACTGCTCATTAGCAATCAGTCTAGAAATTATCCCAGATTTTCCTATTGTAAAACCTTAAATTCTGAGGGGTTTTGGCTGAAAGACAGTATTTTCCCTGTTAATCTGGTATGTGTCTGATCAAATGCAATGGCAGATGTCTGGAGGTGTATACAAACGAGGGACACTAGAATTAGGCAGCAACAAACTGCTCTACAGACGTTAGAGCAAGTTCCAGTGGAGTCAAACTTCGTTAGAAAACGCACTTGAGTTACACTAATGCCATATGAAACTTGAGCTTGAAGCAATGAAAAAAATTTTGTTTGACATTTTTCAGATTATAATACGAAGCATTTTTCATTTTAATTGGTTTAAATGCTGCCAAGCATTTGGCAGCCCTGGAAGCTAAATCATATTATTCACAGAACAGGTGCATTGCGAGTTAGTTACCATTCCCTGCCACAGTGTCTCAGCCCGATTTTTAAACTGGTCAGCTGTTCAAGTGGGAAGGCTGTTCAGTCCCTGGCCTTTATTCTGAGGCAGCCAACAGAAGTATTCATTGATACTGTTTTCTTCAGGCTTTTTTTTTTTTTTTTTTTTTTTAAGGTGCTTTGAAATCACTGACTGCATCCTCTTAGGCTGCTGTCAAACAATAATGAATTTCAATTATTATGTACTGTGAAGTTGACCTAGAGATCAGAAGATTCATATCACTGACTAAGTATGAAAAGCATCTTAAAATATTTTCTTACCCCTAGTGTAAGTGCCACAGAAGTGAAGAGCCTTGGACATGTTTCTCTAAATCAACTTACACTGATCCAAAGGCCATTTTTCCTCCCATGGCCATAGGTACAAATGTGAGGTGACTGCAGCAGGGTCCTACAGTTGTTGTTTCACTCCTTAACCTTTGTGTCGGTACACCACGCAGCAGTGCTTGCTGCAGTACTACTGCTGTGTTCAAATGCACAAGACTCCATGATGACAGTGCTCTCTCCTCTGTTTTTCTTCATGGAGAGCTTTAAACATGGAGTGGGCTACCTTTCCTTCCTCAGGGGGTGGTTATACTGGTATCATTCCACTTCTGTCTGTTGAAATCTTGCTTTTGCAGCCACTCTTTTAACACTGATAACTCTGTAGCATTTCTGTATTGCCCGACCAGGATACTGATTTAGCCCACAGCCTTAAGGGTTTGAGTCCATTCAGTGTTTTAAAGACTTTGTAAGAACTTTCTAACCAGTAAAATTTAATGTGTGATTTGGGATTTTTTGTAAGTATTAATCTCAGATGTTGACTGTAGGTTGTTCTTTGTGGCAGTGATTTTTTTTTCCTTACTAAATGATTCTCATTCTCTTGCTAAATTGTAGGCTTGGACTGAAAAATCAGCAGGAGAGAGAAATAGTTCATGTTATCCTTTACTGCTGCTTACAGGAGAAGACTTATAACCCCTTCTATGCATTTTTGGCTGACAAGTTTTGTGAATATGAAAAACGATTTCAGGTGAATAAAAAACTGTTTCTACATTGTTTTAGCATCATTATTGTGGTTAGAACAGTTACTAAAAACCTGAGAATGCCTGTTAGGATCTTGATCCTGATGAAAAATTCTGCTGGTATAGCTGTGCAGTCAGTAAGGCATACTCATGGTCAGATCTGAATAGGAAATAAAATAACTACTGGAAGGTTTGCTTTCCTCTGTTTTACGCATTTTAAAAGAACTGAACAGTCTGATCAAGCATCTCTGTTAAGTAACAGAGGACTCATAAAGAATAGAAGGTTGAAAGGTTTTGTTATCTTGTTAGTTGTTTAAAAAGTCACTTGATTTGCAGGATTTTTTTTTTTCCTTTGACACTTAGGTGACATTTCAGTTTAGTATTTGGGACAAAATCAGAGACTTAGAAAACCTGTCAGCCACTGCCATCTCCAATTTGGTTTCACTGTTGGCTCACCTGATAAGGACAAAATCATTGCCACTTTCAGTTCTCAAGGTTGGTGTGTTTTCTTTTCAAAATACTTTTGTGTTTTCCTTGCATTTGCTAGTTCTGTGGAAAAATGTATTTTCTCTGTTACCTAGCTTGTACTTTAGCTATTTGTGGTCATAAGCTAAGACAAAACTTGTTCTAAAATTATTAAATTAATCTCATTTATTACAGTAATGCTGTCATTTGGGGAAAAGGGAACCTATGGTGACCAGACATACAGAAACTCTACAATTCTATGTCTATGTCTGTAGAGTAACCTGAGTTGGGACTGAGGCTCCTTCATTAACAGAATTTGTCAGTGGATTCTGTGCTCTGCTTTTTAGCTGATGTTGATTTATATTAAACCAGAAGGAAATCTACTGAGCACTAGGTTTTCAGAATGGAGAGTCCACAGCATTTAATTAGAAGAATAATTGAAATGTATTAAACAGGCAATTATACGGGTTGTCCTAGGTACTTCTGAAGTATTTATCTGATTGAGAAATTATATCTGTCATTCTGGTACTAGTAGACAGGTTATTCCTGAGAAACTTATCTGCTTCCTTATCGATTGGCTTCTGGAGGCAGCATTCTCAGATAAGTCTTCTGTGCCAAACTTAATGCTGGGTCTATATGGGAGGCCAGTTGGTGTGCTAAAAGCTGTTCATTTAGAAGAGAATTCAGCCGTTTGAAATACTTGAATTAATCTAATTCTCCCCCTCTCTCCACTAGGTAATTGAATTCAGCGAACTAGATAAACCCAAAGTCCGTTTCTTGCGACAAGTATTAAGCATGCTGTTAATCAAAACAGATGCTGAAGAACTTAGTGACATTTTTGTGAGGTAAGTGATCAGAGAGATCTCGGGGAACCCGTGGTGAGTAGTAATTAAGAATATAAGAAGTTTGCTTATTTTGTTTGCAATTATACAGTGCCTTTTCCAAAGATAAGCCATCCATCCCCTAAAGAGTGAGCTCTCCTGGGTGAGTGGGGGCAGCATATCATTTGTGTGTTAGTGCAGGCTCTGAGATAGATACAGCTGTGGGAAGTGTTCTACAGAATAAGGCTTTCAGATACTCAGTGTATCATTTGGTCATAGAATTTTCACATGCAGAGCTCTGTAATTACCTGCTCTCCTTATTGCTTTACCATCTGTGTGCAGTGGGATTCACTCTACCAGCAGTCTTTACTACAAGGTATCTTTAGTGTAAGAAGGAAAAGTAAATAAATGCTAATGAGGGAAAGGTTTGTTTTGGTTTTTAAATCAACGTTGTCTGGAAAATCGTATTTTTGTATATGGGATGGGGTTGTGAGAGGCTGGGAAATCTTCATCCTTGGAGATGCTTAGGTCTTGAGTGGATGAGACTCTGAGCAAGCTGACCACACCTGGGTGTTAGTCCAGCTTTAAACAGGAGGTCAGACAAAATGACCTGACAACATCCTTTCTGACTAATATCGTTCCATGATTTTGTTGTATTAAACTTGCAATGTCACATAAAGTTATAAAAAAATCACGTGGTGATGTTTTAGCCATCAATGCTGCAACACAGGGAAGTTCAAACATGGTGTTTGCCTTATTTGTTGCTGCAATGTAATTGTTTACATAAAGCAAGTCTAAGGCACGAATGTTCCGTTTTATTGTTGAAGATTAATTGTATGTTGAGTGTGTTTGAGCTCTTTGCTAAACCAATGTAAACGTGCTGATAATTTAAAAGCCTCCTCAGAAAAGCTCCTTTTATAGACTGGAGTTTTTTTTCCTATGTGTCTATTTGAAGAAAATAAAGGAAAAAAGTTTAAAATTTCTGAAACAGTAGAAGACTAAATACTATTTTTGATCTGTATTTTTACAGAGTGTCTGAAAACCCCAAACTGGGAATTCTACGGGAAGGCTTGAAACTTTTCCTGACCCACTTCTTATTGAAAAATGCACAAGCCCAGAAAAGTGCTGAAGAAGCTAACTTGTTAAAAGAAAGAGTTGAGATAGCAACCAAGGCTTTGCAAGCAAAAGAATCCAAATTGAAGCTGTAGTTCTGTTTTTCTAATACAACATATGGAAAAACTAGGTCTGCCTGAAGATGCAGAGCTTTGTTAGTCTTTCAAACCCAAATAATTGAGAATGAGGAGATCCGTGTTACTCTAAAGGACCCATTTTTTTATGTAAACAGTTACTTTCCTGTACATACTAGTTACAGCTTTAATTGAAGGTGCTGCAAGGCCTTTCTGAAGAAAAGGAATATAGTGTCACGTCCTTTTTGTAGTACAGGTGATGCATGTTAATGGTTAGTATCTGCAAAAGCTGTTGAATTTCTCTTTTGTGACACTCCTGGTCAGCAGCAGCATTCTATATTGCATATTCTAACCTTTCATTTAAAATAATTGCAGAATACTGACCACGGTATGGTAAAGAAGCAGCCTTAACTGAAGGCTTTTAATAACTTATCATGGTACTTGCCTGAAGAAACAGGCCACTAGATGGCACAAGTACTGGTGAGTCAGTTTGGGAAGAAATCAACTTTTTTCTTAAAGTGTTGGAAATTATCCACTAATTCTATGAATTGTTTACCTGACTGTGGGGTCAGGAAAAGATCTTCAGTTGGATTCAAAGCTGTAGTAAAACGACTTGAAGATCTGACTTTGCCCAATTGTATTGGGTTTAGAGATCACAGCATAGTTTTTATTGCTCTTTTTAACCTATGTTTCGCAACTTTAAAATTGGAGTTGCCTAATCACTTGTGTTAATCAGATTTTTCTAGGCATGAAGAATAATATCAGTATGAGTCTTTTAATAAGAAAATACCTTCCTTAAGAATTTGCTTGCATTTTCCATCCGAATGTTTAAAAAAAGAAGTGAACATTTTCTTTCTGTAACACATAGTGTTAATGGTTTGTTTCTTTTGTCACCTTACCACTACACATTAAACTACAAGTTTTGTAAAGGCTTTGCTGTTTGTATTAGCTTTACTCTAGCTGGCTTGCCAGGAAGGGAATGACATTTTAAGTTCAGGAGGAGGAGAAGCACTTTCTCATCTGCAATGTATCTACATAACCTACCTGTGCTAGAGCTGCCAGCCCTGTTTCTGTAACCAGGTTTGCCCTCTGGTGTTCAACAGTCCACTCACGGTGCCTACTAATTGCGTTTGATACCAACTGATCTATTCTGCTGCTCTGGATCTGTCCTTGTTGGGAAAATTTGCTCCCAGTAGGCATCATCCAGAAAATGTTTAGTTCTGCAGCAAGAGAGGTAGACCAGAATTTTTTATTTTTTAAATTTTTAATCAAAGAGTTGAATGTACAATACTGTGCTTGCTTAGTCCTATGAGTAATGTTTTCAAGCGGAGGAATGCTTCCCCCAGCAGCCAGGGACCTGTTTTTCTCACCTTTCCTCTGTTGGAGAGGGAAGATTGTAGAGAACGAGGTGTCCTGGGAGCAGAGAGACCCAGTTTCAAAATCCCAGGTTATGCTAGAACAGTAACAACAAACACAGAGGAGGTTACTACCAAAAGAACAAAGCAAGATGGTTTCCTCAGTGTTTCATACCACACAAAACTGGCCATTTCTCCTCCGTTGCATATTATGTGCAACAGGCAGAAGAGGAAAAAATTTAGTTAAAATATTTCTAAAATTCATACCAGTTAACAGAAGTATGGGCAGCAGAAGAATTGACACTGTATTTTGGTGGATACAAAAGTCACAGCTTTGGAGAGTGCATGTAAACAGCTCCCTTAAAACCAACCATGACAGACCTTGCATTTTAGTTTTGGAGGGTGGGCTCAGGAGCAAATCTGTGCAAGCCCCTAGAAACTGGCTGCTGTGGAATGCCTGGGACCTCAGTGAGTACAAATTGCTCCCCCTAGACTGCAGCAGCCACCTAATTAATTACCTTTTTTGCAGGAGTTTAGATAGACCCAGCATTTCAACATGTTTGTGGTTTAATAACGCATAAATGGAAACACATTGTTCTAGCTGGGAGGTTGAGGCAACTTTGCTCTTCGAGATAAATCTTGAAACATCTTCCTTAAATTATATGTGACAGGCTGCCAGTTCCCTGTTTGAATCCTTTGCTTGGTGATCAGAATTGACCACCCTTTGCTGCCCGTGGAAAGATTGCCTAGTGTTTTATGGGTCCGAGGCTATTGGCTTGCTCCAGCTGCCTGAGGCAGTGTGATGCAGGTGTTGCTGTGCCATTAGAGGAGACGGTTTTAACCGTACAGTCTAAAATTACCATTGCTGGGGTTTTTTTTTAAAACCAAGACTTGCATTAGTTATTATTTATTGCAAGCAGCTAATATCTTTTGTTCAAACTTATAGCTTTTAGAGCCATTGCGTTGTTTCTGAAGAAAACAGATTTTACCTGCCTGCAGCTTTTAAATTTATCACATTTATGTATAAATGTAAATTTTTTTAAAAAACTGAATTTGCAAGGAAAGCAGCCAAAATACACTGCCAGCC